TGACATATTAGGACCTACAACAAACACATCCGGTCTGAGTGACATATTAGGACCTACAACACACACATCAGGTCTGAGTGACATATTAGGACCTACAACACACACATCAGGTCTGAGTGAGATATTAGGACCTACAACACACACATCAGGTCTGAGTGAGATATTAGGACCTACAACACACACATCAGGTCTGAGTGAGATATTAGGACCTACAACACACACATCAGGTCTGAGTGACATATTAGGACCTACAGTATAACAAGCACTTCAGGTCTGAGTGAAATATTTATCAATCGTTACTCCTTTCACGGAGAGTAACTCTGTAGATGGACAAATACATTATAACTTTAATGTAGAATTATTTATTTTTATACATTGTGTTTGTAATTTTTGACACCTCACTTTTATATTTGTTTTTGATGTTTTAAATTCTAATTTAAACATGATTTTCCAACTGGAGTTAAGACAATTTTTCAGGGAGATAATCTACTGACACAAGGAGAACATGCAAGCTCCACTCCAAAAGGCCCCTTCTGGCTGAAAGTTTTTTTTCTTTTCTTTTTTTTTTTTACAAACACACACTCACTACTCAAGTATCTTTTTAAATTACCATGAGTCAATATTTTGGCTATTCTACCCACCTCTGGGAATGTATTTAAGTTTGTGACAAAATAGGTGACATATGAGGACAAGTGTGTGTGTGTTAAAAGTGTGTTAAGGTAGTACCGTGCACGACCAGAGAGGCGCTTCAAACTTTTTGGGACGGAGTGTTTCGGCCCCGACACACATTTTCACTATTTGTAGACATTTTGGGACATGCTTGATTTTTGGTGTGGAGCTTGTTCTGGGCCTCTACAACACTGTAGTATGCATGGAAAAATGGGGACCTGAAAAAAGTCCTCACATTTCCTCAGGTCCTGATATTGAAGGTGTGTTATCATACAAAAGTCCTCATATGTCCACAAAACAAACGCATCACGCACATGCACATACAAACACATCTACACAAAACATTGTTCACTGTCCCTGTCTGTATTATATGTATTCTTGTATGTCTTGTACCGTCATCTACCTGTTTGTTTTGGGTTTTGTATTGTATCTGTGTTGGAATGAATGAAAAAAATAAATAAAAAAAATAAAAAAGTATATACATTTTGAATATTTTTATTATAATTATCAACTCAAACCATATTTTGGCCACTTCTTTGTCCGCTCTCAAAAGTGCGGCAAAACTGTGGCCAAAAGTGCGTCTCCAAAATGGCAAAAAGTGCGTCAAAACTGTGGCAAAAGGTGCGTTAGCCACAGATTTGGCCACTTCGAGGCGCCCCCTTGTGGTGGCCAAAACATTGGTTAGCCATTTACCACTCAGGGATCTCGGCGCTGCTGCCCATCTATTGCTGTGGCAGGCTCTGCGCTGCACGCGCAATTACGCACGGCTATTTGTATTCCTCATTCACATCTGGTAAAGCAATGTGTTATTTCATTAGATTTGTGTAAGCCTCACACAGCCACACACCCCAATAACGCATCGATGGTATTGCTCACTCAAACGTCTCACTGCCCTGTCCAGAGTGCGCAGCGAGTGCCGTGAGAGGTCGCGCCACATGTGCAGAAGTTTTGGCTCCAGAGTTTCTTTGTGAAATCTGGACCGCAAACGCTCTCTGAAGTGTACAGCGCCTCAATGCGCACTTCTACCCCGAGCCAGGCTGCGTCCAAGACGCTGCAGACGCTTCATTCATGAGAGCCACCGCTGCATAATATATATGAATTAATTAATTCATTCAATCAATCTATATTTATTCACTTCTAGGATTTTTCTAATGTATCAAAACATTTTGGCAAATTGCGTAAATGGAATATACACCCAAAATGTACACCTTTTTCAACGAAAGTTTCATAAATGAGCTTGTGTGTATGTGCGCGCGTGAGTGCGTGTGCGTGCGTGTGTGCGTTTGAACCATATTCTTTGAAACCCCAATTCCAGTTAGCCCTTGTAGTTTGCAAGCGAATTTGGCCTACTTACTAATCTGCAGGCCTACCCAAAATAGACTAGTTATGAGCGAAAGCCGCTTGTTGCTCTATTATCCGCGCGCAGCAATAACATGTCTATGAGCGAGGCCCGCAGTCGGGGAACACCGGGCCCTCCGGCGTTTGGAAGGTCCGATGTTCCCCGGGTCCGGTGTTCCCGAACACCGGACCGGGAACACCGGACCCGGGGAACATCGGGCCGACCCCGATCATGCAGTGTCAGTGAATACATTACACTGTCCTCTACGCTTTTCCATAGACCTCACAGAGACAGCAGCAGCCGCGACTCTGCAGCTGTGTACACAGCCGCGAAACGCGACTCCTCTGCTCATTGATAAAAACAACGCAGAAAGTTCAGAGAAAGCGGCAATAGCGATCACAATCTCTGACATGCAGATTCGCACAGGATAAGTATTATCACAGAACGTCTGTGTTTGGACAAATACAGGAGGTCATTTGCGGCGGAATTATTACTTTACAAATTACAGACATGGCGCATTCGCACAGGACTAAGATTTCAGACGTCCTCTGTGATTATCACAAATTACCGGGGTCCCCATGTAAAACTAATCCCGTCCGAATAGGGCTTTAGTTGCAGAGTTGGGAGTAATGTAACTACTGTAATGTATTACATGTTGCTGTGACGCATTAATGTAAGGCATTACAAACAGGGTCATGTTCACTCGGTGCAATAAAGGTCAGTAATGTGAGTTACTTTTTATTTTAACCCCGCCCTCCACTTGGTGTCTGCGATAGGTGAGAGTCTAGTCTAAGCTCTAGTCTGATCTTTTAAGCGTCCAAAAGAGTCAATATGAACAGATATGAGCCTCTCCAGAGTCCTGTTTTTGAGACAGACAGACGGGCGCGATGAGCGGCAACTAAGCAGTGAGTTGCTGTGAACCAGTTCTGAGCCAGGACCATGGATCTATAATAATAACCAGGACTTGGCCAGGACTGAACCAAGACTGAACCTGAACCAGGACTAACCAGTTTACCCAAAGCTTAACCGGAATTGGCAATAGTTACAATAAAAAAGAGAAATAACAACCCCTTTGCTTATTAGACTGACATATAATAATTGAACTTGAGATGTTTAAATCCTAATTCATGTTAAAAGAAAATAAATACATACTCCCAATATTTAGAGTTTGTTGGACAGAAACATGTGGAACACAACAGTTAAGTGCTTTAACCACAAGCTAAATTTAGTATATATATATATATATATATATATATATATATATATATATATATATATATATATATATATATACATACATTCATTATATATAAACAATTTTCTTAATTTTTTTTTGAAAGAAAGTAGCTTAAAAGTCATGCAGTAGAGTAATGCATTACAATTGAGCAGAGACAGACATAATTATGGTAGTGTAATACTTTTTATATTTTTTCCTTAAAAAAAAAAAAAAAAACATTAATACATAATGTATTACGTTTGTGAAGTAACTTGCTCAACACTGCTCAGTTATTAATAGTTTGATGAAGTGATCTGACGGCCCCCACTCAGATCGTCAGTCGCCTCTGCTGGAGACTAAATGCCAACACACTTAATTCCACCCTTAAATGTGTTATCTCTTTATTATTATTTATTTCAAAAATAATTAACTGCACTACTTCAATACAAACAGAGCACATAGTTTTACTTTTCTGCTATTTACCTTGACATATTGTAACACTATAACTACTATAACTGTAGTTGTTGCCCCATACATCCAAGTTATAAGTGAAGTATGGTAATATGAATCAGTAAGCGGAGAGCATCATGAATGTATTTAACTTTGTTGTCTACACCAATACCTTATGCAACTTTTGACTGTGTAAGTCTTATGTGTGGTTTCCATGAAAGTATGTTATTAACCGACATGTGCACAGCTTCCATTGGTTCACCATCTGTGTTCTATTGTTGGTCAGGTTTTGATTAATTTTGCAGTTTCCAAAGAACAGTTTTTTTTGTATTGGAACAACTTTAGCTTTTTTAATTTTCTTTGGAAATGTACTTGATTCAAAATCAATAAAAGTCGATACTGCATAGTGGGAAGGACATTTTTATAAATTGGTGTTTTATATCGAAATGCATATTTGTCTACCTGCTTTTTGTCTCGAGGGGTATGAGAGCAGAGCTGGTTGTCTGTATGGCGTGTGTGTGTGTGGAATTAAAGGGGATTACATAGTAATCAAAAAAAATATTTGATGAAGTGAATATTAAATTTCATTTTACAGGTGGTTGCAGTCGCTGCACGCAATCTTGATGATGCACAGAAGTTTGCCCAAAAACATAGCATTGCTCATGCTTATGGAAGCTATGAAGAACTATCAAGAGATCCTGACGTTGGTCAGTTTTATTTACCACATGTCAGTACACCATGTATAACACAACATCGAAGCCTTTCGAACAGGCCAAATCAGGCCCGCCAACTTGACCCGGCCTACAGAACCTCCTCCAAATATATAAAAAAATCATCCCCCCACACCTGGTGACGTGAAACCTTGTTTTTAGACGTGATACAGTAAGATACATATTTAACAGAGTAGTGACTTCACTTTCACTCCTCTGCTGAAAATTGAATCAAAAATTTGCATCCCTGGGGAGGTGTTCCGGGCACGTCCCACGGGGAGGAGGCCCCGGGGAAGACCCAGGACACGCTGGAGGGACTACGTTTCTCGGCTGGCCTGGGAACGCCTTGGGGCCCCCCCGGATAAGCTGGAGGAAGTGTGTGTGTATACGGAAGTCTGGGCGTCTCGGCTTAGACTGCTGCCCCCGCGACCTGGCAACGGATGAAGTGGAAGAAAATGGATGGATGGATGGAAATCTGTATCAACTTTGTTCCAGGACTGTTCTTTTTTTTTCCTCAGATGTAGTATATATTGGAGTCATTCACCCCTACCATCTGAAAACATGTTTACTTTTTGCTAATGCAAAGAAGCATGTACTTTGTGAAAAACCCCTGGCTATGAACACAAGGGAGGTTCAGGAGATCCTAGCTGCTGCCAAAAGGAATAACGTCTTCTTAATGGAGGTAATTATAACCGTTGCTTATACAGCTATGGCTATACCTGCCTGTCATAGGTAGGTTAAATCTTGGCTGCTAGTGTTACATTCTAGCATTGTGCCACAGAGTCAAACCATCCATCAGGTTAAATGCATTTTCCCAACATTACATACTGTATTAGCTACAATACGTATGTTGCCATTTGCAGGCTGTCTGGACTCGATTTTTCCCAGTCTCTGTTGAGGTCAGAAGGCTGCTCTCTCAGGGTGAATTGGGTGATGTGAAGATGGTGAGGATAGAGTTTGGCGTGCCGATTTTGCATGTGCCGAGATCTGTGCAGAAAGAACTAGGCGGAGGAGCAACGCTGGATATCGGCATATATTGCCTGCAATTTATTTGCATGGTGTACAATGGCGAGAAACCAGAAAGCATCCAAGCTGTTGGCATATGTGGGGAAACAGGTAGACAAGACTCTGCATAACACCTGAGACACTAATCAAGCCTGTTCTGTAGAAGAGAAGTATTTAGAAGCCAATGTTTGTTCAACAGGAAGTCTGTAATTATTGGAAATAAAAATTAAAACAAGTGTTTCATTCTTATCAGGTACAGATGAGACCGTGGTTGTCACGCTCAAATACTCAAAAAACAGAATGGCTGTATTCACGTGTTCTAATGCCGTGCAGTTACCCAACGAAGCCATTATCATGGGAACAAAAGACTCCATAAAGGTAAAAAACAAACATCTGAATAAGTCCTTTTATTTATTTTATTATTGTAGTTTTATTTTAAATCCTGTTCTTTCAGATTCCGTGTCCGATGTGGTGTCCGACTACACTCATTGTGAATGGCAGAGAGAAGGAGTTTCCCGTTCCAGAGCCTCACATGCCTCTCAACTTTTTGAAGAGCACAGGGATGCGTTATGAGGCAGAGGAGGTTCGACAGTGTTTGCTCAAAGGTACTGACCTTATTTTTGCCTATTAGGTTTTCAGTTTCTTCACATTAATGAAACATTTTTTCATGTTCTAGGTTTGAAGGAGAGTGCTATAATGTCACATTCAGACTCTCTCCTACTCGCTGGAATTGAAGACGAGATCCGTAGACAAGTTGGGGTTGTGTATCCTCAAGATTCAATATAAAAAAAAAAAAAAAAATGATACAAACGCGAGATAAATGTGGTGCGATCTCTTTTATTGAAATAAATCCAGTCTGGTAGAACAACCTCGTACAGCTAGTTTTTTAACACTGGGTTTGTACACTCAAAGCATTACAATCAACTAGACACAAACACAGGACAGATGACCAGCAGGGCACGACTTCACCTCATCTTCCAGTGGCACAAACCCACAAAAGTGCGTATTCATATTAGTTAAGAATCATGTGATTCAGAAACATTATATGCCAACAACCAATGGACCCAAATTGAAAATTAAAAAAGGCATAAAGACACACCAACACAATACAGTTACTTGTTCCAACATGTGTCGAGATAGAGGAAATACATATTGCGGCATTGAATAGATGTAATATGAATACAACATAGTCTGAGTTTAGAATGCAACCTTTTCATTTTACTACGAAGGCTCTATGACAACATAATAGGCGTTTATGCTAAGTGGAGCTGCAGCTGCACTGCACAACAGTCGTATTTCAGTCTGCCCCCTTAGAATCATGTTCAAGATTTGAAAAGGAGATAGATTAGACACTGTTATAGTTGGGCTTTTCTAGACTGGTTTTACTGGCAAACAAACAAGGAATGGATAGTGTGGCATATATGGAAAATATAGCTCTCAATATATACTAAATTATGGATTTGAATGTCTTTGCATTTGTCATTTTATTTATGTGAGGAGAGCAGTGGAGTGTGTGAGGAGCAAAAGGAAGATGAAGCCACATGAAGTGACCTTTCAGTTCACCAATACCACACGCATGGTGTTGGTGTAGCCAGAGCCTGGGCGCCAGCCAGTCAGGATAATAACTACATCTCCTTCTTTGAAGAAGCGGCGAGCTTTACCTGCATCAGTGACATAGTATTAGCCAAACTGCACTTCACAACATGCAAGAGAAAAACATATGATTGAATTTACCCATTTCCATGGCAAAGTTAACACGCATGTCCACATCCTCAGCCCAGACGTCATGCGCAGGATTGGTGTAAAGAACTGGAAAGATGCCTCGGTACAGGTGGGCCTGACGGGCAGTCTGCGCGTTACGCGTAACAGCAATGATAGGAGCACGAGGTCTGTATCTGGAGATTAGATGAGCAGACCTACACACACAAAGAAGAAGACATTAAACAAAGTATCTGGTAATATAAAATAATGTTTTGTAAACACAATGCAAAAAGAGCAATTATCTACACTCTGTTAAACACACAATAAAATGCAAAGCAAAATCAATGTATTGCAATTGTTTGTGTTTTATTTGAATTATATTACATAATTATTGCCATGCACGTTCATTTGAATTCATGCCTAAACTTCACTCACTTCACCTCCTACTAAGTTCACACATTCCCACAATGCATGTCAGTGGAGGTGCAATCACCTAGACATAAGATCACCACTGTATCTTCTGTCTTACCTTCCACTCTTGGTGAGAACTATAATGGCACTAGCACAGGACTTGAATGAGGCCTCCACAGCTCCCACAGCCCTGCCTCAGAGGGGTCTTTGGTCAGCTGGGAGTGTCGTCTGAGCTCCTCAAACAGCTGTCTGTGAAAGGTGGCTTCTTCTGCCTCTCGAGCTGTCTGTGCGCCAAGGCGTCATGAGTGAATGGGTGAAGCGGGCAGGAATATGCATAATCACGTTTGCCTCAAAGCCCTCACACTGCTTGGTGAGGCAGGCAAAACTTTAAATATAAAATATGACATTATGTTCCATTTCAGGTGTTTGAGTGATGCCATTTCTATTCCTTAAATACTCAAGTAAATGTACATAGTGTTTCAGCTTCTTTTTATGTGTCGCAATAGTTTGAGACAGAGTTTGGCAACAATTCCCCAGTCACATACTCTTCAAGACCTGACTTGCCCTATTCTAAAGCCATAAACATTTATTGAACAGTAATATTATATCCACCAGTTTGCCTTCCTACCTTCCAGAGCCTGTGAGTACAATGAATGCTGAAGCTAAGATCTTAAAGGAGGCCTCCACGGCCCCGATAGCAATAGCCTCAGCTGGGTCTTTGCAGAGTGGTGTGGAGCGGCGGAGATCCTCAAACACCTGCCGGTGGAACATGGCAGCCTCGGCCTCACGAGCAATCTAAGAAAAGCCAGACAATCCCATAGAAGGCATGCATCAAGGCAGGACAGAAAAGCAGACATCAAAATGGTTAAGATACAAGATGTACAAGTAAAGTTGTCATGTTATCAGTTTGAAAAGCAGCAAAGAAAAGGGTGAGGAAAATTAAGAAACAAAGTTGGACAAACCAAGAACAGAAATTAAGGAGTTCAAGTCGAGAAAAAAAAAAGAAAAAACAATATTATCATTATTATAATGTAAAGCATCACCCATTGACATTTATATATTTAATTATTAAAAGCTAATTTAGGTAACTACTGTACAAACATATAGTCATGAGGTCCCAAAAGGCAAAGCTGTAAAAGGGCATCTGCGTTCTGAATATTGTAGTCATTAGACGTTTTGAGTGTGAACCCATATGGCGAGAGTCAGTGCTTTAAGTGGCCCAAAAGAAGTGCAAGTGTGACGTCATAAACAGCTGAGGCATTAGATTCACACACACATAGCACTTGTATCTAACCAGGAGGACTGGCAGGTTTGACAATGAAAGATAAAAAAAATGTCCAGAATCACTAAGTCTCGCATCTTACTATTTACTGTCATAGACCAAGTACCAGTACGGCAAAAGTAAGCAAGTAAGTAATCTTTATCTATATGCCGCCTTTCACAGACCAGAGTCACAAAGCTGTTTACAATTGTTATTTTTTTGGGCATTTGTCTCCCACTCCACACAGAAATGGGAGTGGCGTCGCCAGTACAGGAGGCGCATGCCAGACCTATTGAACATGTTTTTAGTGGTAGGGGAAACCGGAGTACCCGGAGCAAACCTACGCAAACATGGAGAGAACATACAAACTCCACTCAGAAAGGCTTTGTTCCAACCGAGATGCATACCCAGGACCTTCTTGCTGAAAAGCGAAAGTGCTATCCACTCAGCCACTGTGCCGCCCATTCAAAAGCATGTTCCTGGCGCACGGAGAGGTGGCGGTACGCTCAAGAGCTTTTTTTGGAAGTACCGGCTCACTTAAAGCACTGGCGAGGGTAAAAGGTTTGTCTATAACGAAGGATTTCTTGAAAATATAGAAGGGTCAATCAATCTAAGAGAAGAAAGAGGGCAGGATTCTCTTTGTGAAAAGGTCAGCATAGTGCTGATTGATTCTTACATCTGCAGTGAAGGCAGGAAGGTAGACTGGGTACAATTAGTGTAACTATAGGACCAAAACAAACAGACTACAAACTATCCCTGACAATTACTCGTAAAAACCTACCTATTATTGGCAGTAAGTAAGTATAAAATGAAAGAACATATTTCTAGCATTGGAACAATCTGTTGTTTATGAATATATACTTTAGAAAAATGCAGGTACTTGTGTTTGTGACTCACCATGTGCTGTGTGCGGACAGCCTCTAGGGGGTAGTCTCCCTTGGCGGTCTCACCACTCAACATAATGCAGTCGGCTCCGTCCAGCACAGCATTGGCCACATCACTGCCCTCAGCACGAGTAGGTCTAGGCTTCTTGATCATACTCTCCAACATCTACAAGACGAGTGATCAGAAAACACTGTATAGAAATGTGAACCGTAATTGATACAAAATGGTTGTCTAACCTGAGTGGCACATGTGATTGGTTTGCCAGCTCTATTGCAACGCCCAATCATCATTTTTTGGGCCACAAACACTTTCTCTGTGGGGATTTCAATTCCAAGGTCTCCACGAGCCACCATTATTCCATCACTTGCCTCCATTATCTCGTCAAATCTGTAATTAAAGTAAATTATATTTTATTCTATTGTATATATTAATATTATATTTATATTGTTTAAAAAAAATTACTCCCAAAATAATGATGAGCTTCATATAAGGTTTTCTAAAGAGCATCAATATAGTAACCTATTCAGCAATAACATTTTTAAGTGAAAATGACTGAAGAACTCAACATTGTTAGGGTTGGACTTTTGACCTTTAAAAAAAAAATTATATATATATATATATATATCCAGATAATTATACTCCTCAATGTTCTACCAAACAAAATTAGGAACATTGTGAACTAAAAATATTGATCAGTGATTGAATATTGAAGCTCAAATATTTTACCATTTTAAAAGCGCTGTGAGAAGTATTTTTTTATAATTCAGAATAAAGAATGTCGATTTTATACTGGGAATTCTACAGCTCTGAATACACAAAAAATCCGGTGTCTCCAACAACCTTTTCCACCCAGAGAGCTATGGTACTTTCCCAAGATAAAAAAGACAGAGCTACTACTTCAAGCAATCCTAGGTGACATCAGGTAATATATTGGTGAGAGCGAGGCTGCTGTCCAGGTGTCCTTAGATCAACAGTCATTATTTATCATCACATATTCATTAATTGCACACAAAGTATAAGAAATAATTATAAATACATTCTGAAATGTTCATTTCTAAATACTGGAAAGGGGGCAAGCTACTAATGCCTCCAGAGCTAAACGTTGGAGACCTTTGCACTTGATTGTCAAAGAAACTTAGTTTATTTTATCATATTAATGAATGCTGTGAATATGGTTCAACATGGAGCAGCTAGTACCCAGCAGAAACATGGCTGTGCTCTCCAGTTCCTTTATAAAGCTCAATACAAAGTACCACTGAGTGAGGTCAACAAACCTGCGCACACCCTCATGGTTCTCCAGCTTACTGATGATCTTGATGTTTTTGCCCTTTTCTCCCAGCACTGCCCTGACAGCGTGAACATCCGCTGCTTTACGAATGAAGGAGGCAAACACCATGTCCACTCCTTGCTCCACGCCGAACTGCAGATCCTGGATGTCCTTTTCTGACACTGCGGGCAGATCCACAGCTGCACCGGGCAAGTTCACTCCCTTCTTACTTCCCAGACAGCCGCCATTCTCGATGTCACACATGAGGTAGTCGGAACCTGAAGGGAATTGGGTTAGGTTCATGGACTCTATTTTAGGCCTTGGCCATGTAAAGACTTACACTACAACAGGGCTGCACGACTTTGGCAACATTTCTATTTGCAATATTTCTGACCAACGATTGTGATTTCCTGGTTGTTTTAAAAGTGGTTCCATTGAAATTTAAATATAGTTTTATAAAGAACGTTGCATAGTGGATTGGATGACAGGTAATCGTGCAGCCCTAACCAATGCCATCTCCTGAACTTACCTATCTCCATGACTTGCAGAGATATGAGTCCATCATCGATGTAAATCTTACTGCCCACCTCCACCACTTTGGTTATGTTTTTGTAGTCGAGCCACAGAACCTGATCACTGCACTTTTCTTGATATGCATCATCCAAGGTTAACTTGATCATGTTGCCCTTCTTTAGCTCCACCTCCGCTGTGCCACTCTGTCAAATTAACATGTTTTTGATGACATCTGTAAAATTGTTGCATTTCAACAGTGTGTATTAACAAAACAAACCCCATGAATGAGCCCGGTTCTGATCTCGGGTCCTTTAGTGTCCAAAGCGACGCCGATCGGTCTGTAGCTGATGCTGCCAGGTTCAAAGCTTTCACAGGCCTCACGGACGTTCTTGATTGTTTGTTCGTGATACTGTAGGATGAACAAAATATAGTAAAATATGTGACCTTTAGTCCATTTTATGAGCATCACAAAGCAACTACATTCAAGTAATAAAACTTTACAACTTATAAAAGTCAGAACATTAACTAGATTTTCTTGTTCATAAAGTATCATCAGTTTAAGCATCAGGATATTCATATTTCTTTATTCATTGTTCCTAGAATTCTAATCTATTCTTGACCAAATAAAGAAAACATGTGAGTGGGAAGTTCTGTCCACAGTCTGGTTGAAAAGAAAAGTCCCCAGTTACGTCCTTCACCAAATCTTTCCCAACAGTAATCTCATCTACACTTACAACTGAACAAAGATCCAGCCGATGAGCCGATACTCTTTTGTTTGCAGCATTATCAGGTAAACGAGTCGTGAGATTCAACAAAAGTTGGAACCTCTGTTGAAACCAACACTAAGAACAAACTATAAGATTACAAACCTCATGTGTTCCATGGGAAAAGTTTAACCGTGCAATGTTCATTCCAGATTTGATCATCTCCTTGAGCATATCCACCTCTCGAGAGGCCGGTCCTATACAAAAGAAGTCACTGTTTAAGTTTTCATTTCTTGTGTGATCGTAAATAAACAAACACACCGATAGTGCAGATGATGCCAGTGTTGCGAGCCGTGGTGGGGTCAGAGTCGATGTCCAGCAGACACAGGTGTTCCAGGAATGTGTCGGCTGTGGCAGCATTGAGCTGCTGCGTCTGGATGAAGGCAGTGCCCATGTCTTGAGCCTTTTGCTGCGGCATGGCTGTCACTGGAGTAGTGAGAGTTGTCCTAGAAATAAAAAATAAAAAAAGGTAATTAGTTTGATATTAGAATATTAATCATTAAAAGATACAATATGCAGCTTTTTGTGGTGGGTCTTCTTTTTATTTGGAAACAAGCTATTTCTATGCGATACTGAGGTGTGTTCCGTATAGAAATTACATCTCCTCAGAATCAACCAGGATAACCCCCCCCACCCCCATCAGAAAAGTTGTGCTATGCAACAATACATGCTGAGATATTTGAGACACCAAACCAACCTGCAGCTGTGGTATAATATCTACACACATTTTATGTGTGCATAAAACTATAATTTCTCTATTGCTTTAAAAGTCTTTGCTGCTATATCAATGTTATGTGTTCTATATCTGTACAGTAAAGGGAACACAAATGGCAATTTGGGCACTTCCCCAAAATAATACTCATTTTATGCATGCAAGTCACCATGCTGCAAGTAACACTGCTGTTGTTAAATGGTACATTCAGTTCTTTCCCTGCTGATTTGTCCATCTCTTTGCCATGGCAACCGCACCAATGGCTCAGAGGCCTCGATTTCAACATTACACAGTTTCAACTGTTTCTCTGTGATAAAAAGACAAGTTGTGAAATATCATGTGTGTGCTGCAATCTGTGGTTTTGTCCATTCATCCTTTTGCAAATGTTTATTTTGCATTCCTCAGGATAAGCAGAAAACCCCCTCATACTCTTCTTTTTGACAAACTGAAGCATTTCACTAGTTGCTGCATCTGTAGAGGAGGCTTAAATGACACTTAAGCATCTTCTCCTTATTTTCACATCCCAATTACAAATGCATCATGATGGGGGTCCTGGGCTCGGTTGCAGAACAGAACAGAGGCTGCTCTGCTACATTATGTAACACCCATACGAATACCAGGCCAGAGCTGTACGTGCACTGAATCATGTCCTACCACTACAGCTTCACAACGCTGGATATAGAGCAGACATTTACTGAAACAGAGAGATGGGAAGTTATGTGCTGGAGTAACATCAACAAATGCAACACCCTAACCCTATAAACAGTGGCTGCCAGTAATCCTTTAATTCCCTGCAGACAGATCTACCAAATATAATTGAAATAGACCAAAACCACTGGTTTAAAGGCTGGTGATTACAATGTTCAACCTGCTCCTCTGCACCTTCCTGCTCCTGTTGCATGCTCAAACTCATGCACTCTTCATCCAACCTGTTAGCATGCAAAGCTACATACCACCAGTAGATCGTTCTGCTTCTCCTGGAGAGGAGCAGATACCACACAGGGACTGACCTCCAGCACAGCCCCAGAGTGCTGGAGTGTCTGTGGACTAAAAAGGCAACAATATTCGCGGTAGAAGCCAACAGAGCACTGGCTGCTGCTCGGCCGGTACGTACATATGACACTTTCAGTAGCGAGGCAAATCCCATCAGAAAGGATAAAGAGCTTGGTACAAGGTTGTTTAAACTAGGCCGACACCATGATCTTTGAGCAAACTTACAAAAGGTTTACGCACAAATGACAGCAGTGTGTATCTGAGGGAACCACCGCTCTGTCATGCAACACCCCAAGCTAAAATGGAAATGCCTAATAATAACTCACAACATGGAGGGTGATTGGAAAATATAGTTTACTAGCTGCAGGATGCATACATGAAATATTCAAAATATATTCATACATTTGAGGAAAGTTATTGCAGTCTAACTTTAAACTGTCATCAGAAACGAATGAGGAGATCGGGCATTGTTTCAATGTGTTTTAATCTGCTCTATGAGCCATGACATCTGTGAACTGACCCAGAGCACATATGACAAAAGAACAGAGTTTGTGGATTTGTTCGGTCTAGACATTAGTAAATCATATTGTATGTGTGGGTTCAAGATTCAAGATTAATTTATTATGTCCCAAAAGCAAAATTGTATAGGACTCACAGGCTACATTGGAAAGTACACATATGACAGACATAGAATAACAATACAGTAACACAGACATAAACCATCATTGCTCTGCTCGGTTGGCCTGCATTCAGGAGGCTATAGTGGTTAAGATATCTTTTCTTATTGTTTCTTACGGGTGTTCTCTAACTCCCATTACTGGGTGAAAAACAAAATAAAATCACACTTCCCAAACCCTATATTCAATATGCAGCAAGAGGTGTTGTGGAGAAAATGTTATAGAATAGTCAAACATATATCAAAATTGACAACTTAGTACATTTAAAATTTAAAATCGATAGCTGAAACCCTAATTATATATGTACTAGTGACAATAACATGTTTTGGTTATCCTCTGTGTAGAATAGACTGGAATATTAAGATCTTCTGTTTCTCTTCCTTATTTATATATACTACAAAGGATTGTATTGGTAGAGTTTTCATAATAAACACAAGAGACACTAAGGGCTTGGACTTTTGGCAGGCAAACACCAGAAAAAAAAGAAAAAAAAACTACTAGAGCTACCCATAGCTCGAGGCCACACAACAGGCTGATATCTAGTGTCACGAAGGCACTGCTGCGACTACTGCAGTGACGCAGGGCCTGCTGCCGTGCACAAACGCCACAATCCATATTACACGCCACAGAGAAATACCACAATCACGTGAAATAACGCACAGATTCATGCCGTTTTGGCTAGTGTAACATTATTCACCAGTCATAGCCCGTCTGTGTGGTACGATCATACGACTATAGACCATAGACGGATGCGACAGAGGTCACGTTCCCATCACTGCGTCACATTTTCCTGGCTTAGATTAACCAATGAGCGCAAGAGTCACACCCACAACAGGAAGCAACTTTTCACTCCTCAGCATTGATCAAACAGCTCACGCATCACCATTTACAACCCTTTTCTATTGTATACTTGCCTAGAACGCGCCCATATTTCACAATAAACACTGATTTCCAATAGCAGACGTGTCTCTTCCAAGTGCTAGGTTTTAGATTATCTTTAATTTATGGATGAGTTGGATCTCGTGTCTTGCATTAGGAAGTAGCCATCTACGGAGCTCTGATAAGAAGCTGGAACACAGATAAGTGATGCCCAGAAGAATGATCACCATCTGTTCATAAGAAACAACAGTATTTAAACACTAATGCTACTGACCACCGATGTCGTTTCTTATGATGAGCGATCAACGTGACATATGTGCACGCACGCAGTCAGTCTGACACAAGCAGATGCGAAGCGCGATCAACCGACTTGGATTCAATGATAGCCATGAAATGACCTAACTAGTAAGCAGAAAACTATAGCAGCATCTCAGTGAACCACAGGACACCCACCTTTACGCCGGAGAAGAGCTCAAAGTGATGTAACAAGCGCGACACTCCTGCAGCTCAAGGTGATCCGCTTTTTAGCCAAGGGACTACTTTGTACGGATGCTGAGTAATATCCTTCCGAGTGTCAGATGCCAAGTTGTTGCATCAAAATGAATCCACTATTCGAACTATATTGTAATCATTAACTACAGCATGAATTTATGGGATGCAGTATTTATGTAGAATTATGTTAGAAGTTATGTTTGAATATGTGAATGTGCGGAAGGATACTACGCTTTAGCAGTGCCTCGTCCGCCAATCGGAAGGCGGAATAGCATCATGTGTCATGTGCCTTTGCTCGGGATGTTAGCTTGACCGGTGAGTGCAAACATCTTTTCACAAACTACTGATATGTTTAACTGTTTCATCACTGTACATAAAAAAACAAGCTGCACGTTGGTCCATTAAAACGCTTTTCAGTTCAAAAATAAAATTGATTTTTCTGATAAGCGGAAAGGATGCTGTATCATGTTTTTAGCGTGACCATACAAACAGCAGTCTGGCGACACCCAGCGGTCAGTATTAGAATAACACATTCAATTCAATATACTGCCCAAGTATCCACATACAATGTAAAACCAGACAATTAAGTAAAAATAAACTATTTTAATCTACTTGTAAAAAAAAAATACAATAACGATAAGCAATACAATTAATAGAAAGACAAATAATATGATAAAAATATATCTCAGCAGGATGTTGTAGCTCATTCAACAGACCTATACAAAATAAGATAAGATAAGATGTGCTTTATTTATCTCACAAAGGAGAAATTTACATCTCACATTGGCATGGATAGAGACACTCAGATTGTGCAAAAGAAAGACATGTGCAAACATGTTACATGCAGGATAATTATGTACCGCAAAAGTGTCAAGTGTCAAATTGAAAACAGTGTCAATAGTAGCCTTATACCAGCTGCCTGCCCGCATGCTGATGTCCCTGGATTTCCCTATAGTCACATGAACTGAACATCAGGATCAGAATCAGAATTCTTTGATTGCCATGTGAGTAACAAGAAGTCACACACTAGGAAATTGCTTTGGCTCTTGGTGCAAACAAGTTAAAATGGAATAAAATCAAAAATCCATCCATAGATAAAAATCTACATAAATGTCTTCTGTTTACTATATATACATCACAGCCCAACCTATGTTTGAATGACAATTTATTTTACAAAATTAATTAACAGAATTTAATTTATAAAATGTAAGATAATAGAGAAAGATGGATAAATCCATAGTACTGGATTTTTAAACAGTGAACATCATTTAATCTACCTCTAACTTTAATTGGCTCATGATTAGTATTCACATGCATGAATGCCACTGGCACATAGAGCAGATTTGGCGGAAAAAGTGGGCCAGGGTGGATTACCCTACTCCAGCCCCCATCCTGAAGAGTCATATTGACGTAGCTCTTCAAAATAATTAAATGTTTAGTATTTGGATAAAGACACAGTAAAGCTGCCTACTTTTTGTTACAAAGTTTACAACAGGAAAAATGGAATTAACTAAATTAGAATGTGCATACTTTATTTCGTACCTGTTTATTGTAGTAGTGGTGTCACTGCTGCTACTTCCACTTCCCATTGTATCATCTCAATGGCTACACAAACAGCATGGATGCTCACATGCTTGTCCAGGTAGAAGACATTGCTGAGGGCCACTCCACCAGCCAAAATCCTGGTTGTCAGTCAGCATCAATCATACTAAGCTGGAGTTCACTAAGGCGATCTACACTTGGATAATTCTCTGAGATGAGACAAACTAAGTATCTTGACATTCAAACATATTTGTTCAGACAGGACAGATACAGGCAAATATAGATCATGGAGGTTTTCTACCTCTTTGTACTTTCATTATTTATTTGTTTGTAGGGCGGAAATGAACAACTATTTGTGTAATTGTTATAATACTAAGCTATTATTCAATAGTTTGAATGATCTAGTTGTTTAGAATGCACATTTGAGATTTTATCGAAATTTGATGCTCAAAGCTGTGTGAGGTCATTATAATGGGATAGATTCATATTTTATTTATTTAGTCGCTTCTCTGTTATGTCTTGTATGTATACATGTTTTAGTCTCCTTATTGAGAAATTCAATTGTTAATATAGTTGATAATGATTATTGCATAACCGTAATTTGTTGATTACAGCTCTATTTGATTCTAATATACTGTGCATTCCAATTTCAGATCATCAAAGAATGTAAACCTGGTCTATACAATATAATCCAGGTGTGAGGACCACTGTATCTTGAGATATTTAACCTCTAGCATGGGGTAACATTTATGATGACCCTATCCTTAAGTATAACACACAGGCAGAATCACATAATCCTATTATTATAGCAACCAGGACACATGCAGAGTGATATGTGGGCACAGACTAAACATAATAAATGTTCTTTGATTTTTCTATGCAATAAATACAGTCAGCTGCAAGTCACATGACCAGATGCCTAGCACTACTGAGCATGCTCAGAGCTTTCAGTGTTGTTAGGCAAAATATAAGACAGCAGTAGGAGCAGAGATCTGCAATAGATAAACACAGCAGATGGCCGGCTCGCTGACACATACCGCTTTCCCGGACATGAGGTTGTTGTAGAACGACTGTGAGTCTGATGTCGCTGATTTTTTGAGATTGTTGCCAAAAGAAGAGCCACTGAAGAAAAAGCAGGTGTGCCCTTTAAGAGGGGAAGCCGCTGAGCAAAGGACAGCATCCCAGTCTCCATCCTCTCCGGAGGTAAGTGTGGGGTACAAAGGGGGAGGGGAAAGACGCCTGACTGCATCTGTGTTTAAAAGCTAGGAAATTGGGACGCATAGAGCTGTGGGGGGTTGAGCGGTACGAGACTCTTGGTGTGAGAAACGTCTATGGTCAGATCAAAAGCAGGCAATTCTGGCATGATGTGGAGAGTGTTGTGAATACAGGGTTGGTTGGAGAATACGTGGCCTCTTTAATGAGAGAATGTGTTTGCTTTACGTCGTGAAAATCAAAAAAATCAGCCATGCTGTGCTTTCTTTTGTGTGATGTTAGTTATGTCATACTCAGAACAATATCCTAATTTTACATACAGGCACACAATGACATCAGCAAATGTACTCTTCATTAGATGTAGCAGTTTTTTCTATTTGAATTGGGATCACAACAAAGAAAAAGAGATACTCTATGTGCCGAGCATCTCCCACACATTCTCCTCTCAGTGATTAATGCCACTCTGAAAGGAGGCTGAAATGGCTGTTGCTAGGATACATGGCAAGGTGAAAAACGGACAATATAAAGAAAGGCGGAGGACACTATTCTGCTGAATGGCATCACACCAGCCGACGCATTGTTGTTTTTCTGCTGATGTTTCTTTGTTTATATTCTTTGTGGTTCCAGTTGCTTGAGGATTTCTTATTGCGTGAAATGGCTGTGCTCTTTAGCAACGGTCGAGGGCCTGTTTGAACGAACCTATGATCAACAGACCTAATGGTAAGGCAGCTGTGTTCTTTACAAAGAAAATGCTGTGTCACTCTGTCTTCATCCATTTTAACAGTATTGTGTATGACAGATCTAATATTATATCTTTCCAAAATAGCATGACTAAGCTCCAAAGCTAATAACAGCCCCATTTGAAGCACTTCAATACAAGCTAAATATAGATGATGAATGTCACATAAAAGGATTGTTGAAGAAGGTTGTGTTTTCTTTCCACTTCGCCGTATTAGCTTTTGACAATGTGTGGGCCCACAGGACATCAAAGGCCAGTGCTGGACAGATGAGGAGTCAGACGGGGAGAATGAGTCCGAGCAGTTTCTCTATGGCATTCAGGTAAAGCCATTTCAGGTTCCACGAGCATATATTATACATACCACATAAAGGACAGAGCTATGTGGGGTTGTGTGTTGTAATATTCATGAATGTCTATGCTGACTCATGCTTTCATCTAACGTCATTGTATAATAGATTTATTCATGATTCCAGTCCATTTGGTAATTTTATATGTCACAAAACCTTTATATTTCCAAGCTTACGTGTATTTCACTCATTGAGCCGAGCATTTACTGGTAGATGATAAGATAAAGTTAAAACAACACTGTAATTTGCATGATTCTATTGAATTAGAGAGTGAATAGATGCATTTGGAACATTCTCTATCTATGTTAATATATCTCTCTCTCTATATATATTAATGCATTTTTCAGTGCAATAAAAACAACAAGTAAACGACAAGAAGCTTAGCTGAAAGGTCTAAAGTATCTTTTATTCAGAGTGACACACAACTCACCGCTCAAGACCCTGGTCTTAAATTCCAAGTGTTTTATTGTTTTAATTTGTGAGATTATATGTACACATTTGTAGCATAGCAATAATTGTATTGATCATTTTATGATCAAATACAGTACATTGTTTACAGTGAAGGCTAAACAGTGCTGGGGAGAATACTTAATAATAATAATGCATTGGTTTTATATAGCGCTTTTTTGGACACTTAAAGACGCTTTACATGTCATTATTCATTCACTCCCTACACGGTGGTGATAAACTACTACTGTAGCCACAGCTGCCCAGGGGCCCACTGACAGAGGCGAGGCAACCAGTATGTGCCACCACCAACCATTGACACACACACCAGACACATTCTAGGCAATGGGGGTGAAGTGTCTTGCCTAAGAACACAACAGCAGTTTGGCACTTTACAGCCGCAGCCGCCCCACTGTGGCTGGTGTTCCCAGAGGTTAAGTGTCTTGCCAAGGACACAACCACAGCAGACAGTGGGAGTCGATGGTGAAAGTCGGGCTCGAACCCACGACCCTCTGGCTCAAAGGCCAATGCTCTACCAACTGAGCTACTGTTGCCCTTTGAAAATGTATTTAGTTACAGAATATTGAGAAAATGTATTTTGTATGATATCATAGTATAAAAATGTGGCGATAAAGACAGTGGCTCCCCGCAAACCTTTCCCTACATTTTTCTTACATTAAAAGATGTTCCTATTATTGATTTGTAGTACTCTTTTATCTCTTATGAAGTTTCAGAGATTTATCCTTTGTCTCACATCACATTTCTGTAAAAAATAGTGTTCAAGTACAATCTAATACAACTGTTTAAGAAAAAAATGTATCTGAATGTGTATTCTCTGTACATGTACTCCTTTACTTCCTAACACTAGGCCTCACAGAAACGGCTTGAAAATTGAACTAAAAGTAAAACATGTACTGTATACTCTTTCAAACAAGCATACACAGTACAAGCAAACTTATTCCTGCACTATTGTGGAGACTTTTATCTTTTATCTCAAATCGGTTGTGCATTCTTAGTTTTATTATAGGTGATCCTTTGCTGTTTTGTTCTCAGGGTAGCTGTGCTGCTGACCTCTACCGTCACCCTCAGTTAGACGCAGATATCGAGGCAGTGAAAGACATTTACACTGAGGGCGCCATCTCTGTCAGGTAAGGCGTATATTTAAAAGCAGATCCAGTCATAACAACAATTGTACTATTATGTGAACATCTTTCTGAAAACAGGGAATATGGGACAATAGATGACGTCGACATAGACCTCCACATAAACATCAGCTTTCTCGACGTGAGTCAGCATTTTTTCTAACTTGCACCATTTATATCTGAGAGTTGTCATTTTACAAAGCAGCACATCCATACTTTTTATCTTTTGTGCGCCTGTGTGTAGCGCTTTCATGTATTGCTCTAATTAGATGGTTAACTGTGTGTATTTATGTGTGTCTGCCTTAGGAGGAGGTTGCAACAGCGTGGAAAGTCATCAGAACAGAACCTATTATTTTAAGACTGCGTTTTTCTCTCTCACAGTACCTTGATGGACCCGGTAAGAAGCCACGCTATAGTGTTATATAATTTATTACTGTGGTATTTTATTTCTATGCCAAGTACATTATTGTGATTGATTTGTTCCATTGGGCCTATTGTGCGTTCATAATAAAATACTTGTCACTAATGTTAAAATAATATTGTTTTTTGTCTCCAGAGCCATCCGTAGAGGTATTTCAGCCTTCTAACAAAGATGGATTTAGCCTTGGCCTACAGCTAAAAAAGTGAGTCTCAAATGGTTTGGATTTTCCTTTCTAACTCATTCTCACTGAGTTGCTTTTGAACTTTACTTTGCAGAATCCTGAGCACATTCACTTCTCAGCAGTGGAAACATCTCAGTAATGAATTTCTTAAGGCTCAACAGGAAAAGAGACACAGCTGGTTCAAAGCTGGAGGAACCATCAAGAAGTTCCGAGCTGGGCTAAGCATCTTCTCACCCATACCAAAGTAAGTTATTCTTCTTTTCTCGCTCTATTGTTATGGAAAAACACAAGTAGTGAATCCACAAAAACTCATTCTCCACAATTCAATTCAAAGTATAGTTTGGGAAATATGAACATACTATGAATGTGTTATTGGTTAATTTATACATGTTATTGTGTCCTTTTGTATCTTGTATTAATGACGTGCATTCAAATTATTCAAATATAAGAGAAAGGCTAGCTTATTCCAAAAACTCTAGCATGAAGGAAAATTAGTAACTTGTACACAATATTATATCATGGTTATATATTCATTATACTGTATAATACTGATATAATAAAATACTGGACAGAGTGAATCAACTTGCAAGTTGACAAAAACTGGCTTAGGGAAAAGGATTTCTCTTACTGCAGGACATTCTGACTGGTAAAGACTTCTTAGGACAGAGGTCAGCCTCATTATGTCAAATCAACGTAGCGGCCAAAGTGACCACCTGTACAAAGTAACGGCTGTCTGACAACTTTTAGCATTCCGTAGTGATATATGAAATGTTCTTTGTAGTGACCGGAGCTTCTTGTTTGTGGCTATTCCATCATTCATATGTTAGTGTTTGTGTTACCTCGCTCCTACTCTTCTGTAAAACTGAATTGTCCCCTTTGTAGGACAAATACAAGATCTCAATTTTATTTTTTGTTTTTCAGGTCTCCAAGTTTCCCTCTAATACAAGACACCGTTCTAAAAGGAAAACTTAGTGTTCCTGAACTGAGAATGACCCGGCTGATGAACCGATCCATCTCCTGCACAATGAAGAATCCTAAAGGAGAGCTGTTTAGTTACCCACCCAGTACTCAGGTCAGTACCATGTGAATGATTCTGTTATTATCGTGAGTTATTCCCATTGACTGTGTCAGAACCAGCAGTTTAGACTTGGCTCCTGCACTGCCCCCTCCTGTGTCACAGTCCCATACTATCACATTGGCAGACTGCATGTCCCATAATGTTTTTTCTCACTTGCTTCATCAGACTGTGGCTGTCCCAGCGGCCAGGGCCCCTGCGCAGATTACCACGAGGCAGCTGATTGAATTGTTTTTCTCGTCCCAGGCGGGAGGGCACTGCAAGAATATCCCTACACTGGAGTATGGATTCCTAGTGCAGGTTAGATACAAGTAAAAGATTAAACCAAGCATTAAGACCTTGTAATTGTGTTGTTTGTTTCACTTTATTACCACATTATGGATGACAGTAAGTGAAGATACTGCTGTGCTTTTTACCATGCAGATAATGAAGTACTCGGAGCAAAGGATCCCCACTCTCAACGAGTACTGTGTGGTCTGTGATGAGCAGCATGTCTTTCAAAATGGGTCAATGTTAAAGGTATAGAATCTACAGAATATCATTTATTTGACCATGTTTCCTTTTATACAGTATGTATTATTACTAGAACTGTACATTGTTCTCAAATGTGAACATGTTTTCTCCCAGCCTGCAGTGTGCACGAGAGAGTTGTGTGTCTTCTCTTTCTACACTTTGGGTGTGATGTCAGGGGCAGCAGAGGAAGTAGCCACTGGAGCTGAGGTAATACACATTCTGTAAGAGGAAAGGAGAATATATAGTCAAACGTAAATTTGAAATGCTGTTTGTGCAGGTGGTGGACCTTCTAGTGGCCATGTGTCGAGCAGCTCTTGAGTCGCCTCGAAAGAGCATCATCTTCGAGCCCTACCCTTCTGTAGTTGATCCCAATGACCCAAAAACGTTGGCCTTCAATCCTAAGGTCAGCATCCACACAACCGCAATTATGGCACATTTAAAATTTTCATTATTCTTATGTGAAAAATACTAACATACAATATATATATACTTTCAAATATTTGTTTCCTTTTTCTCTTACAAACAATGATTATTCGGCTTAAACAATCAACACAGAAGAAGAATTATGAGAGGCTTCAAAAAGCATTAGACAGTGTTATGTCTATCCGCGAGATGACACAGGTAACACAAGATATATGGGAGAAAGCTAGGGGACACATCTTGGAACCTCAACAACACAACTAAAACTTTTCCACTTTCTTTTAGGGTTCTTATCTAGAAATTAAAAAGCAGATGGACAAACTGGACCCGCTTGCCCATCCCTTGCTACAATGGTGAGGCCTCTTTGTACCTTGTAACGCCTCCTGTTACTCACAGCCATTTGTGTGAGAGTGTCTTCTTGACTAAACATAATTTATCTGTCTGTAGGATTATTTCAAGCAACAGGTCACATATTGTCAAGCTACCTCTGAGCAGGGTGAGAAATCTTGACTGATATCCAAAAAAATAAATAAATGCACACAAACCTGCCACTAACTGTAATTATTTCCATCTCTTATTTCCTGCTTGGTGGGACATGTTCCGATATAGCAACTGAAGTTCATGCACACTTCTCACCAGTTCCTGCTTCTGAGCAGCCCACCAGCCAAGGAGGCCCGGTTCCGCACCGCAAAGAAGCTCTACGGCAGCACCTTTGCCTTTCAGTGAGTCCTACCTCTCTCTTTTGTGTTTTTGCTCCTCCACTGTGGTTCTCAAACGGTTCTCACAAAGTAACAGCTCCAGAGTTATATTTTATTCTAGATTTTGTTTTATCTTATTCTATTATCTTATTACTTAACATTTATAATATTATCTTAAATAATAATGTTAGATGTGTGCAATCTGAGTGCACTTATTTCCTCTTTTTATTCTGCTGTACTGTGCACAACAATGACAAAGATTTCCCCACGTAGGACATATAAAGGGCCGCTTATCTTATCTTAGAATAAGGACGCCTGCTCCTAAATAAGACATAGTTACAATAGTTAGTTGTTCTAAATAAGGATTAAAAAGCTGATTCAAATTACTCAAACTAATACAGAAATTACTGTATCAGTACACTGCACTGCACAGGCATCCATGAACCACCAGAAGAATCCCAGGAACCACCATTTGAAAAAAAACCCATTGTTGTTAGTTGTTGACAAATGGTTAACTTTACAACAGTTGGTCAAAGACAGACGGCCAAAACATTCATGCATAATTTAGTATTACACTGTGTCAGACACGATCATGAGTCAGTTTAACACCTGCCTATTGGATTGAGTTCAGATTTTAGAACACGACAGCACACAGTCTGATCCTTCTGTGGGAGTGGGAGGCCTTCCAGCACATGCAACCAGAAACACTATCTGTGATCCTTTTAAATGTAGGCTTTGATGCAGCAGGGGAAGTATCAACACTGCAGTCCTTTCCTGTTCAGACGACACAAATCCTCCGACCGAAAATGTTAGAGGTGTCCGTGAAATGACTATTCTTATCGTTGACCTGGAAGCCGTCATGTTAATGAAGTGTAAAAAGGGTCAATCATGCCTTTTTTATCCCTTGGAGGCTAAGTCTGTCTTATGTCATTATAATGTGTTTTACGGCACATTGAACTCTCCGATGGCTGGTCTTTGCCAAACAAATATATATAGTGTTACATTATATTCTTCATATGTGGCAGGGTCAGTTACAGCTGTTGTAAGTCTATAGGATGTTTATTCATCTCTGCTCTGTGCTGCCATTCGTGCGTTGGTGGTAGATCATGTTTAAAATTTTCATACAGGGCACATTTAGTCCTGCTTTGTATTCATTATTACACTAGTGTGAGCTTCAGTGGTGTTTAAAACAGTGACAGTGCAGTCTGAAAGAAAGATAAATGTTTCATATCAACAAAGCAGAGCAAGGTGCGTCATATATTTATGCCCACCAGAGGGCGCAGTGCACTCATTCCTTTGTCGTAGAGGAAGGTTTTCCTGAGAAGCTCCTGTTTCTGCCTCTAGTTCGGAGAATCCAGATCGATTAACAACAGAAAGAGCTCTTTTCCTCACAGCTCCTTAAAGTTGACCTTAACACAAGTCAATGATGAGGAGAAGTAAGCTTTAGGAAGGACTCAAGGACTAGGGAGGAGGTATTTGTCATTTTCGAAAGGAGGGATATTGTAGTATTATTATTATTCATGCTGTCAGACTAAATATTTAATGGAATGCATGAACAGGCTCTCACTGACATTTTATGTATAGATAATTTATAGTTTGGTGTTCACCTTTCTCTGCCCTTTCCCTAGTGGCTCTCACATAGAGAATTGGCACTCGGTTCTGAGAAATGGCCTCGTCAATGCCTCCTATACTAAACTACAGGTATGTATGTAAGTCTGCGTGTGTGTGTGTGTGTGTGTGTGTGTGTGTGTGTATGTATTCAGCATGTAAAAATGGCTGCCATAGTATATACCAATCCTGTAGGAGGTAAATACAACATCTAAGTATTTCTATACAATTTGTCTAACAGGTTTGTTGTGTGTGCGTATACAGTATGTGGAGAATATGAGGCAGGATTACTATCTCAACATTTTTTAGCACTTAGAATAAGAACATTATTTGTGCTATAGGATAAAGGGCGAGTTTATTGCAGTAATCACACAACTTTGCTTAGTACATGTATCATTTTAGTGGTGGATTTTTTGCAGTCTTCTGAAGGATAAAACACAGCAGAATTGTCTCATTTGCACAACAGAACTGATAATGATTGCTGGAAGACACGATGGCACTGTCTGAAAATAGATGAAGCGCACAATTAAGTCGGAGAGCTTTGAAATGTCTCACCTCCGTTTGGATTGCTCTCCCCAGTGATGCGATTCATTTATTTTGTCTTTGTTCGTCTACTTTTTGAACTGTCGATGTTTGATCCGGTCTGGGTGTTCATCTGCCTGCTCATTCGCCTTTCCCTGTTCACCTTGAGCCCCGACACCCGCGCTGCACCGCTGTCATTGTGTTATTGAAGGAGCCAGCCTTTCTTCAGCTCCAGCCATCACACAGAGTCTCCAGTCCCTTATTACTTTTGATTCCATCCAGATGTGCCACATTCTGATCCCGCACTTTTATCCCCTGTATCTCAAGCTGCTCTTTGTTCTCTCCCCTTTGGTCATGTTTTCCATGCCCTGACTTTCCCGTGAATCTTGCCCTTTCTATGCTGAGAACTTTTTTGAGTCTTAATGATTCATGTCAATTTTCTTTCATCCCAACTCAAAATCATTGCCACATCTCATTATTTGAAAGAAAGGAAATGAATCCATAATAATGTTTTATCGGTCCTTTCAGGGCATTATTGAACTTGAGGCAGGTTTTTCTAAGCACAATGTAACAGAATCATGCACTATATCTAATTATTCTATTTTGCGGTTTTTAGCAATATAAAATTAATAATAAAAATTGTCAGTCTCATAACTCAGACAGAGACAGACTTGTGAATTGTGGAATGTGTGTTAAGTGTGTTAAGCCAAAGTTCAATAGTGCTGTGATTGAGGAAAGCTCTGGATGAAAATGACACTGACATCGGAAAAGGGTGTACAAATGTCAGTTCTATGCTTCTGGTAGTGTAGTGACACTTCCTTCTTGCTCTTTTGAACCCAAGCTGCATGGGGCAGCTTATGGAAAGGGCATCTATCTAAGCCCCATCTCCAGCATATCTTTTGGATACTCAGGTATGAACGGTTGTTTTCTCACCATTGGAGCTTACGTGAGTCCATTCAGTCATGCATCATGTGGGTTGAGTATGCTTTGTTTGTCTCACGCTTTGGTCTTCATCCTGGGATGCTTCATCTCCACTTGTGAGGTCTCTCCATGGTGTCACGTGTTTCGCTGCATGGATGTGTGGCCATGTTGGGTGCTGGTGGTTTGTTCAATGAGGTGTAACCTGCCTCCCATCGCATTGTGTGTTGTGGTTGCAAATGATGTGGTCTTGTATTTAGTTATTTGCAAAAATAAATGTGAACTTTATAAAGTCACATGAAACTATTTGCTAGTAGTCCTGTGGTCTCCCATCCAAATTAAGTACTAACAAGGCCTTGAGTTCTAAATAAAAGTGGGTGGCAAATCAATGCATCACCCATTAGTGATAGTGATAAATGAAGATTCTGCATGCTATTCTACTTGTACTATCAAAAAGGCACATCATCAGTCGGGGAGAACTAACCTGCTGTGAGACAGTGTCATTTTAGCCATGTTATTTTATGTTCCATCATCTGAAAAATAACCCAAGGGATTTTTTCCAAGGGAGGTTAAACTATTGTTTCTTCAGCGTGTACCTTTGTGCTCAGGGATGGGGAAAGGACAACACCGCATGCCCACCAAAGATGAGCTAGTGCAGCGATACAACCGGATGAACACCATTCCACAGGTGACACATCATCCTTTAATGAAGGACTTTACAATACCACAGAGAAACATGTTTAGATGTGATATTATTCTGCATGTTGTTCATGTACTCTATTAATCTATTTTATTTGTTACTTTAAAGAGTCGCCCAATACAATCAAGATTTCTTCAAAGTCGAAATCTAAATTGCATTGCTCTATGTGAAGGTAAGAAAACACTGTGAAAAATCCTGTGAATATTAAGAAATCAACTTCTGCAATGAATTACCTTCAATCTGTTCACAGTAATAACGTCTAAAGACCTTCAGAAACACGGAAACATCTGGGTGTGTCCTGTGTCCGACCACGTGTGCACTCGGTTCTTTTTTGTGTGAGTAGGATTACAAGCACATGTCCTATACCTTACCGTGCGCAGGTATAATCGATTTTGTCTTTTGTAACGTGTGTGCAGGTATGAGGACGGACAGGTTGGAGACGCCAATATCAACACCCAAGAGCCTAAGGTGCAGAAAGAGATTATGCGTGTAATTGGAACGCAGATCTACTCCAGTTAATGGACACAGTCGGACCGTTCGTTTCCTTGGTTGAGAGGCACAGGCAGGAAAAGAGAATCATTCTTCACTATTTCATACAGCAGTTTTATTTGCACATCTGATGTCTATACATACTCAATGAATATTTAATAACAAGTCTACACAAAAGCTGAACACAAATGTTTAAAACCTTGTCAGAGTGCTGATAAGAATGACATATCTTTTATACTGCATAAACCTCAAGTCCATCCGGTTTCTCACTGAGTTTGAGCAAATAACTCAAGGGTTCCAACGTTTGTATTCTCCCTCTTGAGTATAACCATTCAACAGACAACACCTCTGTGAAAGGAGAATAATTTTAGGCTATTCCAAGTTGTATTACATCGACGCTGATATATACTGTTTTCAATGAACGTATGTATTCTATAGCTCACAACCCACACCTCATCCCTGTTTTTGAGACTCTGAATTATCATATTGTATAACTTAATTATATTCTCTATGGAAAGCCCACATGAACAACACATATTTCCAACCGGTCATTCATCAATAGGTTGTTTTTTATTTTAAAGATGTGTCCAAGTTTGAACTGACTGTTAGTTTATGCTTTACGTTCCCAGTGAAGCCGCACTTTACCAGATGTACATAATGTTAGGTCTATCTGCAGAAAAGGTTAAGGTTATGGTGAGCTCCCATTCATGCAATCTTGACCTGCATAATACTGAGGGAAATGTACTGCTCCTCTGTTTTCACCTTGGAGAATGACAACCTTGTATAGCTAATCATGTTCATCAGTTAGTCATGTACTTTATGTATGTACGTGTGGGTTTGTATCATTATACTAGACATTGCACTTATTCTGCATATGCCTGAATGGACATTCCTCGGATGTGAAGTAAACTGGAAACAAGAAAGTACTGTGGAACATCTTGACTAATGAGAAGTGGAATCAACTTCTGGGACAATTTGACTGATGAACGGACCGCGGAGCACTGAAAGACAGTGATTTGTACATAGGGACTTTGGAGACCATTATGAAATGTACTGCTCAGAAAAGGTGTGCACAGCCCACTCATTGTTGTGAGAGCCAACGCCAGAATTGAAAGCTGTAAGTGTCTTTGAGAATCTTTTCCTTTTGCTGACTGTCTCTGGCGAGTAGCGTTTTCAGAGATGATGTTGACGATAATGATTGCAATTATAATGATGATGGAGATGAAAGGATGTGATGCTGAGGGAAAAAAAGAATAAAGCTTGATTTTTGCACAGTTTTACACACAAATCCTCTGCCTTTGATGCCTCTGTGGAAATTGGTATCATCACTAAAAATGTCAGATCTCTTTTGTGTCTGGAGCTGGGGAAATGTGGTTACATGGTGAACAGAAGAGGGCACTATTACTCCAGAACATACTGCAGACGAGACGAACCAGACTTTTATCCCTCACAACTGGTCTTTCTTGCTTCATGACATATTATTTATTTAATGATGCCATGTAATATTCATAGTTATAGGAAAACACATCTTTTTTTGTTTATCCATTTTAATTCAGGCTTAAAGCATCAACAAAAATGTGAGTGCATATAGGACAGGCTAATTTCCATTATTGAAAAGATAGAATTGAAATGTGACATTTTTGCCATGCAATGTTTAAAACTTCTTCTTATTTAAGAAACTATAGGTATATTCAGCCAAATCTGAAACTACGGTCAGCAGCTTAGTCTGTGGATAAGGAACAGATGATGTGCATGGTTCACTGCAGCCATGATCTCTTGAAACCCAGTACTTATGTTGGACACAGTCCTCTGGTTTGGCTCAGTCCCCTTCACCAAAAGCCAGCTGGCCCTGAGGCAAACTGTTGTAGTCCACTGGAATCACAAAATACTTCTTTGCCATTTACCAGTGGGGGGAGCTCTTGCATCTTTGTGCACAGACAGAGCTGAGGCAACCTATATGCAGACTCCCAAACAGATAAACAGCACACTGTGGTTGTTTGGTCAGATAAAGAGTACTGACAGGGGGGCAGAGGGGTCACAGTGGGTGGCGGAAGTCACTGTTCACACCCTGCACCACCTCCGCTGTCTCGATAATAAGTGGGACCCGCTTGATTCCTGCTGAAAAAGGAGCAATTATGGGGAGTCCTTTAATCACCCACACTTTTATTGAGCTTGGGGTCCTGAGCTTGCAGCTCAGGCCCCTGATGGCGCTGGTAGGGAAGGTGGCGGGCGAAGGGAGTGACAGAGAAGGTCGGTGGTTTAACAGGGCGAGAAGGGGTCTCGTTTGAATTAAGGCTATTCGGTACGCCGCCTGAGCCCCTGCGGGACAGAGACAAAGAGGTGGAGAGGAGCGCGAGACAGCCGCACCACTGAGGCGGAGAGATAGATGGACTTAAAAGAGGGAAGACGGGAGGACTAGAGGGCAAGAGTTTGGGGGACACATCAGAATAAGAATCATTTTCAGCTCAACTAAGATAAATCTGTTGAATTTCCAAGAAGAGAGAGCGTTGGAAAGAAATTTTAAAGAAAAGAAAACGGAGGGAGTTTACACTATGTTGTTTAAACAGCCGATTGATGACGATTGACTATGTACACCAAACTTTTTAATCAAGAGTCACCATACAGAAACACAGATAGACACAGAATAGGGTGTTGGTCCAATTTTGGTGTTGGATTAATTTGAAATACGTGAAATAAAAACCTCCTTATTTGCACATGGGTTTCTGCACGGGCAGTGTTTCAACACGCCTTGGCTCGGTGAATGCATTGAGATGGGTCGCAGACTGAACAAAGCCCACATAGCATAAACCCATTTATTAAGCCTTAACATCTTGATCCAATCTTTAAAATCAAAGCCATTTTTCAAGGGATTGTCTATTGGGACAAAAAACAACCTGTTTCAAAATATTACTCACACAGGCTTATCTTAGATCACATAGAGGACTATCATGCCAGGCCATAGCAAAGCTTTCATAAAATGGATACACAGCTGATTATTGTTTCCCAATAATGGGGCTCATATGTTAAATTACAGATTATTTACTATATGGATTCTAAATGAAGACATAGTCTCACTAAGTTTTTTTTGCCAACAGTGAAATTCTTCCACTCTTTTATGTAGTTTTTTTGACATCATCAAAATACTTTCCATGCGTTTTTTGGCATGAGGTTATGCAATCCCAAAATATGTAAAATCCCTTAATAATCATTGGAGCTGATATCCTACGAGACATATAACCTGTGTTCACCAAAGTCTTACAGCCAAGTCGATAGGACTGCCATTTATGTAAGCCTGAACTACAGAATTTTGAGCTGTTCGCTGGTAACTTTTCGTGCACCACTGGCCTTGATTCGATCTTCATTGCATGAAGTCTTGGGCCTGTTACACGCTGTTCTCATCGAAAACATACCAGTTATTGCAGCCAATAGCACCACACCAGTGGACATTTGCTGCTTTTATTTTATTTTTGTTTAACAAATGGCCTTTGTGTGAGAAAGAAAACCAAATTTGATTTCCCTACTTGACAGTCAGTCCAGAGCTACAGTCAGCCCGAGCACCCATTCAAAGCAGCACTGTCAGTGAGCTTTTTATTGAATTTTCAGCTGGGTGTTGCTTGCATGTGTGTCTATGTGTATGGCATCCTCTTTCGCCTCTTCCCTGGATATGAATGATGGAGTACAAGTCCTTGTTCAATCCCTCCGAGATAGTGGAGAGCAAGAAAACGGCAGCCATGCCCTGCAGACATCTGGTGTACATTTTGCTTGGTAGGATTAAACATGGGACAGTATTTTCCATTGGAGACAAACTGTAAGGCCACAATCTTTGATTGTGTTGTTTTAAAACAATGACATTATGCTGAGGATAATTTCTTGGACCACCCTCAAGGTTTGACGAAAACTGGCCATTTATATAATAATTGGGTTATTTTTGAGTGATTTATGGAATTGGCATATCAGATGACCAAAGTGCCACTTAAAGCTGGGGTAACAAAACCAAAAAAAAAAAAAAAAATACATCCATTTAACAAGTTTGCTGCTCACAAAATACATTTTGTTTTATCACTAGTTTTCACATTCATATAATTTTGGCTTTTGTCACATCTGTTTTTCTGATGCGTCATACCCGCATATGAAAGCCTGATCCCATCAGACCTCAGGTGCCACAGTGCAGCGGCTGTAAAGAGCCAAACTGTTGTGGTGACCAAATGCAAGGCACTTGCTACTTGCCCATGTTGCCTTGTATGAGACGCTGCGACAGTAAAACATTGGAGTTGGGTATCGGTTTGGCCTCCTGTTTACATGGAGATGGTGTTTCAGGGGGTGAAATCGCAAGCGTTGAGAAAGAGCCTGCAGAGTGGAACAGCTGTGTGAAGAAAAAGGTGTGAATTCTCTGCTGCTAGGACCTCACCACTTTCCCGCACGCGAATTTGGACATTGTGCAGTAGCCTAGAAAAAAAAGTACAACAATGGTGGCGAGTACACTAACTAGCTACGTGTACTTTCAGCGCTAAACAAAGGAGAATTCTACTCCTTCGTTCGTCAAAACAAAACAACGCAAAGCTATAGTTTCAGTTTCCATTTTTGCAGCTGGGGGCTGGAGGTCACGTTTGTTGTGTTGTGAAGTTCCACTGCCCCCTACTGGCCGGGCAAAGAGAACACGGTTTTCCTTTTGTTCATTCATTCATTATTTTTAATTTTCATCCCTTTATTATCCATTACAGGGTCAGGGGGGTGGCAGTCAGAGCTGCCACCAAATTCACAAAGCACCACTCCCTCCTGCAGGTGGCGGGTCCATAGGAAGATGGCTGCGCCTTATAAGGCCTTGACCTTTCAGCGGGGACTTCAGGCAAAGTGGGGTTAAGTGTCTTGCCCAGGGACACAACGATAGCAGACATCAGTGGGAGCAGATGACATGGGTCGCGGTGGGATTGAACCCACGACCATTAGGTCCAAAGACCAATACTCTACCATCTGCAACACATGGTTTTCCATCGTTGTCTAAACGCTATGCAGGAGACAAGTCTTTTTTC